TCAGCAGAAAGGTCGACTTTTACCAAATGAAAAGAGGAAAAAACATGAAATGATTGATTCAGCAGTTAAATCTGTGACTCACAGCAGGAGCGTTCACTTGTTTCATTTAAAGATGAATAAATCCTGAATAAACAACCAAACATCCAAAATGAAGTAAAGAACTTTGAACTGGAATGGAAATTAAACCTTAAGTGAGTCTTCTGAAATAAAGAATTCAATCCCGACGTTTTTTAAGGGTTTTATTCTTTGCAAAGGGTCACACAGACAGACAGAGTGCAACCAGTCTGCAGAGTGTAAGACAAAGAGCCAGTGTAGAAGCAGGTGACTTTATACTGTAAGGGTATTACGCAGCTATCCAGGAGAGGAAGGGAGTAGGGACCAGCTGTCCTGAGATGAAGGCCTATCAAGGACAGTCTGATAAGAAAACTCTCTAACTTCCATGGGAAACTTCACCTAGCTGTAACATAATCAAATAATCAAATACCACACAGTGAAACCTTTGTATAAAATAATGAAGCATGCAGGGTGAAACAGTAAACACAGTAAAATATCAAATTTCCATCACAAGTCACAGTGAGCAGAGTTAGCATCTGTGCAAAAGCTGCAGGACGCTGCTCAGCTTGTAGAGCAGAGTGAACATGTTCAGTGAAGGAGAAGAAACATGTTGAAACTAGAAAGAGTCACTGACATCAAATCATCACTCAGCCCAGCTCATGGATCCAGTTCAGCGGAGTTTAGTCACATTCAGCCGTTATTAACATGGAAAAACCAAACATGTGCAACACTTGATCTTGATCAAATATAGTTGTTGACCTTCAGTTTTTACAGTCTGCTGATTTAACCAACAGTAAATAAAGATTAACAGTGAAAGGCCGCTCAAAGAAAAGAGAAACAAAAACTTGATTCAGTTCAATTTTCTGTTTGTTTAGTTGTTAAAATAATCCAGTTGGATCGACTTCTGACAAACCACCTGAGGCAGAAACCTGCTTGTTTTAGGATTTCCAGCAGATTTATTATACTATAAGCAGTATAGTGTTGGGTTGGTTTATTCGATCTGAATACGCTTCTGCTGCAGAGAAATTACAGGAATGCAGTTTTATAATAACAATAATTAATAATTTAGCATGACACTTTTATCCCAAGTGAATACAATTGTCAGAGGTCGCATGCCTCTGGAGCAACGAGGGGCTAATTGTCTTGCTCAGGGACACATTGGTGGATGTGTTGCAATGGAGTTGAACCCCTGGTCTCCCACACAAAAGGCATGCCTCATGCATTCTTAACAAAGAGAAGCAAGAATATTGATAAATACTACAGAATAATGCAAATATAATTTGTATTTGTTGGATTAAAATAATCGTTTTTTTCTGCTTCATAATTTAAATCCCTACTGTGGTTGGGCACTAGGACCCTGAGGGAGGCTCCCCTGCCGAGCTGTCGAGCAAGTTACTACACACACGCACATAGTGACACACAGGCATGATGAAGGAAGGTTGATTCAGCTAGTGAGTGATACAGAGAGAAACTGTAAGTTGTTGTTCGTGACTGTTACCTGCTGAACTTCAGCTACGTTTACTTCAGGTAAAGAAAACGGGATATTTTAGTTGGCTATGGAAAACATTAGTGTTGGTAGTGTGGAGGCCATCATTATTACCTGTCTGTAGTAGCCTATTTCAAAACAATATCAGTCCACATAGGATGTTGTTGTCAGTGAAAACTAAATGTCATAGTGTTCCTGTTAATGCTGTTGTACCGGTATATTCCTCCATTCATTGACCAGATGGATTTTGAAGATATTTCAGGAGAGACAGAATCAGGAGATTGGCAGGGCAGCTGAGGTCAGTAGTAGTTAGGGTTAGTAGTGGTCTGCAGGTCAGTAGTGGTCTACAGGTTAGAAGGGGTTTGCAGGTCAGTAGTGGTCTGTAGGTCAGTAGTGGTCTGTAGGTAAGTAGTGGTCTGTAGGTAAGTAGTGGTCTGTAGGTCAGTAGGGGTCTGTAGGACAGTAGTGGTCTGTAGGTAAGTAGTGGTCTGTAGGTAAGTAGGGGTCTGTAGGACAGTAGTAGTCTGCAGGTAAGTAGTGGTCTGTAGGTAAGTAGGGGTCTGTAGGACAGTAGTGGTCTGTAGGTCAGTAGTGGTCTGCAGGTCAGTAGTGGTCTGTAGGTAAGTAGGGGTCTGTAGGACAGTAGTGGTCTGTGGGTAAGTAGTGGTCTGTAGGTAAGTAGGGGTCTGTAGGACAGTAGTGGTCTGTAGGTAAGTAGTGGTCTGCAGGTAAGTAGTGGTCTGTAGGTAAGTAGTGGTCTGTAGGTAAGTAGGGGTCTGTAGGACAGTAGTGGTCTGTAGGTAAGTAGTGGTCTGTAGGTAAGTAGGGGTCTGTAGGACAGTAGTGGTCTGTAGGAGAGTAGTGGTCTGCAGGTCAGTAGTGGTCTACAGGTTAGAAGGGGTTTGCAGGTCAGTAGTGGTCTGTAGGTCAGTAGTGGTCTGTAGGTAAGTAGTGGTCTGTAGGTCAGTAGGGGTCTGTAGGACAGTAGTGGTCTGTAGGTAAGTAGTGGTCTGTAGGTAAGTAGGGGTCTGTAGGACAGTAGTAGTCTGCAGGTAAGTAGTGGTCTGTAGGTAAGTAGGGGTCTGTAGGACAGTAGTGGTCTGCAGGTCAGTAGTGGTCTGTAGGTAAGTAGGGGTCTGTAGGACAGTAGTGGTCTGTGGGTAAGTAGTGGTCTGTAGGTAAGTAGGGGTCTGTAGGACAGTAGTGGTCTGTAGGTCAGTAGTGGTCTGCAGGTCAGTAGTGGTCTGTAGGTAAGTAGGGGTCTGTAGGACAGTAGGGGTCTGTAGGTCAGTAGTGGTCTGCAGGTCAGTAGTGGTCTGTAGGTAAGTAGGGGTCTGTAGGACAGTAGTGGTCTGTGGGTAAGTAGTGGTCTGTAGGTAAGTAGGGGTCTGTAGGACAGTAGTGGTCTGTAGGTAAGTAGTGGTCTGCAGGTAAGTAGTGGTCTGTAGGTAAGTAGTGGTCTGTAGGTAAGTAGGGGTCTGTAGGACAGTAGTGGTCTGTAGGTAAGTAGTGGTCTGTAGGTAAGTAGGGGTCTGTAGGACAGTAGTGGTCTGTAGGACAGTAGTGGTCTGCAGGTAAGTAGTGGTCTGTAGGTAAGTAGGGGTCTGTAGGACAGTAGTGGTCTGTAGGTAAGTAGTGGTCTGCAGGTAAGTAGGGGTCTGTAGGACAGTAGTGGTCTGTAGGTAAGTAGTGGTCTGCAGGTCAGTAGTGGTCTGTAGGTCAGTAGTGGTCTACAGGTCAGTAGTGGTCTGTAGGTCAGTAGTGGTCTGCAGGTCAGTAGTGGTCTGTAGGTCAGTAGTGGTCTGTAGGTAAGTAGTGGTCTGTAGGTAAGTAGGGGTCTGTAGGACAGTAGTGGTCTGTAGGTAAGTAGGGGTCTGTAGGACAGTAGTGGTCTGCAGGTCAGTAGTGGTCTGTAGGTAAGTAGGGGTCTGTAGGTAAGTAGGGGTCTGCAGGTCAGTAGTGGTCTACAGGTCAGTAGTGGTCTACAGGTCAGTAGTGGTCTGTAGGTCAGTAGCGGTCTGTAGGTAAGTAGGGGTCTGTAGGTAAGTAGTGGTCTGCAGGTAAGTTGAGGTCTGCAGGTCAGTAGCGGTCTGCAGGACAGTAGGGGTCTGCAGGTTGGCAGTGGTCTGTAGGTAAGTAGGGGTCTGTAGGTAAGTAGTGGTCTACAGCTCAGTAGTGGTCTACAGGTCAGTAGTGGTCTACAGGTAAGTAGTGGTCTGCAGGTAAGTTGAGGTCTGTCGGTAAGTAGTGGTCTGTAGGTAAGTAGGGGTCTGCAGGTTGGCAGTGGTCTGTAGGTAAGTAGGGGTCTGTAGGTAAGTAGTGGTCTACAGGTAAGTAGTGGTCTACAGGTAAGTAGGGGTCTGTAGGTCAGTAGTGGTCTACAGGTCAGTAGTGGTCTGCAGGTCAGTAGTGGTCTACAGGTCAGTAGTGGTCTGTAGGTCAGTAGTGGTCTGTAGGTAAGTAGTGGTCTGCAGGTCAGTAGTTGTCTGTCGGTCAGTAGTGGTCTGTAGGTAAGTAGTGGTCTACAGGTAAGTAGTGGTCTGTAGGTAAGTAGGGGTCTGTAGGACAGTAGTGGTCTGCAGGTCAGTAGTGGTCTGTAGGTAAGTAGGGGTCTGTAGGTAAGTAGGGGTCTGCAGGTCAGTAGTGGTCTACAGGTCAGTAGTGGTCTACAGGTCAGTAGTGGTCTGTAGGTCAGTAGTGGTCTGTAGGTAAGTAGTGGTCTGCAGGTCAGTAGTTGTCTGTCGGTCAGTAGTGGTCTGTAGGTAAGTAGTGGTCTGCAGGTAAGTAGGGGTCTGTAGGACAGTAGTGGTCTGTAGGTAAGTAGTGGTCTGCAGGTCAGTAGTGGTCTGTAGGTCAGTAGTGGTCTACAGGTCAGTAGTGGTCTGTAGGTCAGTAGTGGTCTGCAGGTCAGTAGTGGTCTGTAGGTAAGTAGTGGTCTGTAGGTAAGTAGGGGTCTGTAGGACAGTAGTGGTCTGTAGGTAAGTAGTGGTCTGTAGGTAAGTAGGGGTCTGTAGGACAGTAGTGGTCTGCAGGTCAGTAGTGGTCTGTAGGTAAGTAGGGGTCTGTAGGTAAGTAGGGGTCTGCAGGTCAGTAGTGGTCTACAGGTCAGTAGTGGTCTACAGGTCAGTAGTGGTCTGTAGGTAAATAGGGGTCTGTAGGTCAGTAGTGGTCTGTAGGTCAGTAGTGGTCTGTAGGTAAGTAGTGGTCTGTAGGTAAGTAGGGGTCTGTAGGACAGTAGTGGTCTGTAGGTAAGTAGTGGTCTGTAGGTAAGTAGGGGTCTGTAGGACAGTAGTGGTCTGCAGGTCAGTAGTGGTCTGTAGGTAAGTAGGGGTCTGTAGGTAAGTAGGGGTCTGCAGGTCAGTAGTGGTCTACAGGTCAGTAGTGGTCTACAGGTCAGTAGTGGTCTGTAGGTAAATAGGGGTCTGTAGGTCAGTAGTGGTCTGTAGGTCAGTAGTTGTCTGTCGGTAACTTAAATTTCTGCATTTAATAAATGAAATAAAAATGTACATGTTGCATAAATGTAGGCTTTACATACCCACAGATATCCACACAGGGAAATATGATTAAAAAAAAGCAATCATACATTCATGCATCCATATAAATAGTAATAATTACTCCAAATCTTTTATTCCTTCCACCATTCCTTCAAGCCAAACTACAGGGCAAAATCACACACTGATTGAACCAATCTACAGTGCAGTAACAATAATTAGTGTAATTAAATAGCATTCTTTGGACCTGCAACTTATCTAAGACAGGGAGGAATTAGATATGGTATTACATTTTCATAAGCAGACAGATAGTATGTAAGTCAGAGCCTACGGAAGAAGTCAGTCTGGCTTAAGTGAATTCCCCCATCCAGCGTTGATCTAAAAACTAACATTACAGTAACTTTTGTTCAACAAAGAACATATGGAAGAAGAGAATATGTTGATCGCTTTTTATCTGTTAAAATATTTGCTTCTTGACTGGTTGTTGACAAGTGTGGTTCTAGAACAGTAACAAATGGTGAGAGTGCAAATATTTTGAAGGTGGAAGTTACACATACCCTGGGGGCTATGCCAACAAATCACCAGGACACAGTCACATGCTCTCATCCTCATCCTCATTATATTGTTCTACAGTCACACAGACCTTTGCTGGTAAAATCTTCAGTGGGTTGTTATCAAAAGTGCTGAGATATGGAAACATCCTGTCAGTGAAAGTGTGTGTGAAGGTGTGTATGTGTGTGTTAGTATCAGGATCAGAGAACGACAGCTTTCCTCTGTTCCAGTCCAGCTTCACTCTGATCCTCTGGAGCTTCTTCTGCACACTGAGAACAGATGGAGCTGGTGGTGACAGTGCTAAGTAGTTACCTCCAATGAACCCTATTCTCCATAATCCAGACCGTATGACTCCCTTCCTCTGGACAGACTCTGATAACACTCCCAGTCTCCAGCCTGTACTGTCTTTAACCTCGACATCCCAGCTGTGAGTCCCTGAGTTAAAGCCCTCAGAGCCCAGGACACAGCTGCACAAGTCAAACCTCTCTGGATTGTCAGGAAGCTGCTGTCTCTCTCCTCGTCTCACACTGGTCAGATCTTCAGACAGGGTGAGTTCTTGACCAGTAGTGTTTGGGTCCAGAATGAGAGGAGTGTAGGAGACCGTGTCCTTCATCTTGTTCCAGATGTTGAAGGTCAGGTTGCCCAGGTGTTTGGCCTGGTCTATCAGAGCTCCTGAGGGCAGCTGTGGATCATCCAGCAGGGGGCGCTGCTGGACTCTTTCCACTGCAGCCTTGTAGTTGAGCAGGAATGAGACGTCTTCAGCTCTCAGCTCCTCCTCTGTGGCTCTGACTGTGTCTGAAAGAGCTGCTATCTCTCTGCTCAGAGCCTCCATCTTCTCCTTCATCATCTGACTCTTCTGCTCCTCTTCCTCCCTCAGTGTAGCCATCCTGGCCTCCTCTTCCTCCTCTAGAAACTGCTGAAGCTTCTTAAACTGCTCCTTAATCTGCCTCTCTGTGTGTCGGGCCTGGACCTTCATGTGTTCTGCTGTTTGATCAAACTTCACTTTAACTCGTTCACAAACCTTTAACTTCTCCTTTAAGGATTTCAGAGTTTCCTGAAGTTCCTTCTTGTGTTGTCGTGCAGCTTCATCGATGGGTCTGAATCTGTGGTTGCTGTGTTCTTCTGAGTCTCTGCAGACGACACAAACTGGCTGCTGATGGTCCAGACAGAAGAGTTTGAGTTTCTCAGAGTGCAGACTGCAGAGAGCCTCTGAAGCTCTCTGATCTCTCTCCTGTAGGAAACTCTCACACAGGCTCTTTAAAGCAAAGTTAGGAGGCAGTCCGTCCTTTGAATGTCTCCTCTTACAAACTGGACACTCCCGACTTCCTCTCTCTGTCCACCAGCTCTGCAGACAGCCTTTACAGAAGCTGTGGCAACATGACAGGATGACAGGATCTTTAAAGATGTCCTGGCAGACAGGACAGCAGAGATCTTCCTCTAATCTGGAAGCCATTTAGTCTCTGAGTGAAGCTGAAGTCACAGCAGCAGACGCTCAGACAGGAAACAGTCAGCCACTCCCTCCTTCAGTAACGGCCCTGAAAGTTACCTTCACTTTGAGTCTTTGTTCTCGTCAAACTCTTGTTCAGTTTGTGGATTCAGCAGCAGGTTGAAGTGGTCGTATTCCCAATATTCCCAGTATTCCCAGTATTCCCAGTATCACTCCTGTAGCTGTCCTCTCTCAGTGGAAGTGCTGGTTTTGGTCTGAAGGTGAGTCTTACCGTCTGACTCTCAGTGTGTCTTGTCTCAGTGAGGCAGAACAACAACCTGTTTTCCTGGTTTCTCTCATGTGAGTCAGGTGAGTAGCGGAGTCTCTTCAGAGTATGAACACACAGGTCTGGACACGCTCTTATTTTTCCATCTGCAGTAACAATAAACTCTCCGGATAATCCTGTGTTGTTAGTAGAAACACTGCTTCACTGTCTGGAGTACTAATAGAACGAGGAGGGTCCAGCTGCAGCCCGCAGACAAACCAGACAAAAGTGACGGAAGTTGAACTTCCATATATGGTTCGTCCCACAAGCCACCGCGCACAAAACGTGATGATGTTTACCTCGGCCGTTCGGCCCACGCAGAGCCGTTAAAAGAAAAAAAAAGAGCCGATAAATAAGTTTCAACGTACCAATCAGTGTACATTATGCGTTAATATTTACTTTATACTATAATTATATAATATTATTATAGTGTATTAATACTGTAAATATTTATTTATAATAGTGGAATGAAGCAATGTTTCAATCCATACTATTGTTGTTGTATATTTTATTTGTTCCAAAATATTCTGTACATCACAAGCCAGATGTATCTTGATTTAGGTTAAAACTTTACATTACTGAGAATTTAATAACAGAATAGCGTTACGAACATTAACACTATTGTTCAGCGTTTGCTGGACACGTCTGCTGTGTAACCAGCTAGCTAACCGGAGCTAGCTATTCCTGACAACCCCCCAAAGTATATTACTCTTACCCAAACCATCACAGGGTGTGTGCCCAAAGTTATTGATTGTATGCATGTCAACCGGTTAACGTTAACCCTACAGTGGCGCACATCTGCTGCTAGCAGATAGGGCTAACCTCCATTGTGTTGATGTGCAGCCTCCGCTAACATTACTGCAGTTATATATTGACACCCGCAGACACCATGGTCGACACTTGTCAACTCCGAAAACGTTTGAACACATTTTCGATTCGCAGTCAATTTTCGTCAGACTGCCGATATTTGACATCTACACAGTTGATTTCTCACCCCAAAGAAGAAGAGTGAGGGGTCGAGAGATGTAGGGATGAAGAAGAATAGCGAAGGTCGACGGATGTAGGGATGAGGAAGAATGGCGAAGGGTCGACAGATGTAGGGATGAGGAAGAATAGCGAAGGGTCGAGAGATGTAGGGATGAGGAAGAATGGCGAAGGGTCGACAGATGTAGGGATGAAGAAGAAGAGTGAAGGTCGACGGATGTGGGTATGATGAAGAAGATTGAAGGTCGACAGATGTGGGTATGAAGAAGAAGAGTTAGAGTTCAAGGAATGTGGGTATGAGGAAGAAGAGTAAGGGGTCGACAGATGTAGGGATGAAGAAGAAGAGTGAAGGTCGACGGATGTGGGTATGATGAAGAAGATTGAAGGTCGACAGATGTAGGGATGAGGAAGAATAGCGAAGGGTCGACAGATGTAGGGATGAGGAAGAAGAGTGAAGGTCGACAGATGTAGGGATGAAGAAGAAGAGTGAAGGTCGACGGATGTGGGTATGATGAAGAAGATTGAAGGTCGACAGATGTGGGTATGAAGAAGAAGAATTAGAGTTCAAGGAATGTGGGTATGAGGAAGAAGAGTAAGAGGTCGACAGATGTAGGGATGAGGAAGAAGAGTGAAGGTCGACAGATGTGGGTATGATGAAGAAGATTGAAGGTCGACAGATGTAGGGATGAAGAAGAAGAGTGAAGGTCGACGGATGTGGGTATGAGGAAGAAGATTGAAGGTCGACAGATGTGGGTATGAAGAAGAAGAATTAGAGTTCAAGGAATGTGGGTATGAGGAAGAAGAGTAAGGGGTCGACAGATGTAGGGATGAGGAAGAATGGCGAATGGTCGACAGATGTAGGGATTAAGAAGAAGAGTGAAGGTCGACAGATGTGGGTATGAAGAAGAAGAATTAGAGTTCAAGGAATGTGGGTATGATGAAGAAGATTGATGGTCGACAGATGTGGGTATGAAGAAGAAGAATTAGAGTTCAAGGAATGTGGGTATGAGGAAGAAGAGTAAGGGGTCGACAGATGTAGGGATGAGGAAGAAGAGTGAAGGTCGATGGATGTAGGGATGAGGAAGAATAGCGAGGGGTCGACAGATGTAGGGATGAGGAAGAATGGCGAGGGGTCGACAGATGTAGGGATGAAGAAGAATTAGAGTTCAAGGAATGTGGGTATGAGGAAGAAGAGTAAGGGGTCGACAGATGTAGGGATGAGGAAGAAGAGTGAAGGTCGATGGATGTAGGGATGAAGAAGAATAGCGAGGGGTCGACTGATGTAGGGATGAAGAAGAATTAGAGTTCAAGGAATGTGGGTATGAGGAAGAAGAGTAAGAGGTCGACAGATGTAGGGATGAGGAAGAATAGCGAGGGGTCGACCGATGTAGGGATGAAGAAGAAGAGTGAAGATCGACGGATGTGGGTGTGAAGAAGAAGAGTTAGCGTTCAAGGAATGTGGGTATGAGGAAGAAGAGTAAGGGGTCGACAGATGTAGGGATGAGGAAGAATAGTGAAGGTCGACGGATGTGGGTATGATGAAGAAGATTGAAGGTTGACAGATGTGGGTATGAAGAAGAAGAATTAGAGTTCAAGGAATGTGGGTATGATGAAGAAGATTGAAGGTCGACAGATGTGGGTATGAAGAAGAACAATTAGAGTTCAAGGAATGTGGGTATGAGGAAGAAGAGTAAGGGGTCGACAGATGTAGGGATGAGGAAGAATGGCGAAGGGTCGACAGATGTAGGGATGAAGAAGAAGAGTGAAGGTCGACAGATGTGGGTATGAAGAAGAAGAATTAGAGTTCAAGGAATGTGGCTATGAAGAAGAAGATTGAAGGTCGACAGATGTGGGTATGAAGAAGAAGAGTTAGAGTTCAAGGAATGTGGGTATGAGGAAGAAGAGTAAGGGGTCGACAGATGTAGGGATGAAGAAGAAGAGTGAAGGTCGACGGATGTAGGGATGAGGAAGAATAGCGAAGGGTCGACAGATGTAGGGATGAGGAAGAATAGCGAGGGGTCGACAGATGTAGGGATGAAGAAGAAGAGTTAGAGTTCAAGGAATGTGGGTATGAGGAAGAAGAGTAAGGGGTCGACCGATGTAGGGATGAAGAAGAAGAGTGAAGGTCGACGGATGTGGGTATGATGAAGAAGAGTGAAGGTCGACAGATGTAGGGATGAGGAAGAATAGCGAAGGGTCGACAGATGTAGGGATGAGGAAGAAGAGTGAAGGTCGAAGATGTAGGGATGAAGAAGAAGAGTGAAGGTCGACGGAGTGGGTTGATGAAGAAGATGAAGGTCGACAGTGGGGTATGAAGAAGAAGAATTAGAGTTCAAGGAATGTGGGTATGAGGAAGAAGATTGAAGGTCGACAGATGTGGGTATGAAGAAGAAGAATTAGAGTTCAAGGAATGTGGGTATGAGGAAGAAGAGTAAGGGGTCGACAGATGTAGGGATGAAGAAGAAGAGTGAAGGTCGACGAATGTGGGTATGATGAAGAAGATTGAAGGTCGACAGATGTAGGGATGAGGAAGAAGAGTTAGCGTTCAAGGAATGTGGGTATGAGGAATAAGAGTAAGGGGTCGACAGATGTAGGGATGGGGAAGAAGAGTGAAGGTCGACAGATGTGGGTATGAAGATGAAGAATTAGAGTTCAAGGAATGTGGGTATGATGAAGAAGATTGAAGGTCGACAGATGTGGGTATGAAGAAGAAGAGTTAGAGTTCAAGGAATGTGGGTATGAGGAAGAAGAGTAAGGGGTCGACAGATGTAGGATGAAGAAGAGAAGAGAGTGAAGGTCGGACGAATGGGGATGATGAAGAAGATGAAGGTCGACAGATGTAGGGATGAGGAAGAAGAGTTAGCGTTCAAGGAATGTGGGTATGAGGAATAAGAGTAAGGGGTCGACAGTGATGTAGGGATGAAGAAGAATAGCGAGGGGTCGACTGATGTAGGGATGAAGAAGAATAGCGAGGGGTCGACGGATGTGGATATGATGAAGAAGAGT